GCGGCCGTGTGGACACCAGCACAGCCTTCAGCCTGCCAGAGCTGACGGTGCATCTCGAGGGGACGAGCGTTTTCTTCGCCGGCTTCCGTGCCAGCGAGGAAACACAGCTCGGGGACTTCAAAGCCCTCACGTCGCAAGAGTTCCTTGACCGCTGCGAGTGGTTTGCAAACTTGTCCGCCGGCCAGGGCATCGTCCTGCCGCCAGGGATGGTGTACATCATGATCAACACGGAGTGCGACGTCGAGAAGGATGACAGCCCCGAAAGCATTCCAGCCTACATGCTGAAGTTGTTCGTACTGACGGCGAGCTCCTGCAAATGGGCATCGACAAGCCTTGCAAAGGTGGTCGCCCGCACCCCCGAGCTGGGTGCCAAAAGAACAGGTACACTTCTGAACCACTTCCTCAGCGTGCTGGACTAATGGACAAGAGGTCCATTGTTTTCTCCCAGGGCGTTCGTTGAAGAGGCAACGAACTGAAAAGCTCGGCATGTACACAATCTGTTGGATTGTGTTGCAGGCCAGCACAACATGGTTTCACTAGCAGGCTTGTGGAGAGCCATGATCCTTTCAAGCCGGGTGTGGCATCAGATGAATGAGAAGGAAAAGTTCGGTTCCCTTGGGAGTCAATTGAAAAGCTAAGCGATTGTTCATTCAAGCACGATGAGGTTCTGGCCCACCATGTTTCGGCTCAAAGTCCTGCTTTCTCTAATTTGAAGACTAGATGATAAGTGTCTGCTGAGTTTGAGGCCACAGTCACACAAGGATATGCTGAGAGCACCCTTGTTACAAACGACTGCGTAGTTTGCCGGTGCCATTCTGGGAGGGTGAAACCCTCACAGCCGAGGCCACCTCCTACCCACGGATGGCACCTCCCCCCTGGTGGCTACAACTCCACGACACTGTCTTGGAGTAGTAGCCTCCGTCAAGGCAGAGGTGCTGGCCCGCTGGCTGTAGTACTGTAGTAAGTTCCAGCCACAGTGTGGCGGTTACTATGCAAAGTCAATGATTTCGCATAGTACCCGCCACCATGGCAGCTGCATTGCTCGTCTGGCAAATGGACTGAAACCCGGCTTCGATCAGCCATGATGGTCCAGACTGCGTGCTGCCTCATGTGTTCGATTGCGAAGATGCCCAGACAGCCAACATGGTAAGCCTAGCATATGCAACTGTTCTTCGGCAGTGACATCAGATGAACTCGATGGCCTGAAAAGTTAGTTTCCATGGAGATGCTAAGCTTTTGCTTGTGTTATCTTTTTGACACACGAGGTTTCGGCTCAAACTCCTCTTTCACCGCTTCTGCCTAAGATGAAGAGAAGCTACGTAGTTGATGAGGAAACTTGGGACTCTGTCACCAGAGATCTCGAGAGCCGTGAAGCTGCGACCTTTTCGACTCCTGGGACACTGGAGCAACAGCTCAATGTGGAACTGGAGATTACGAATTATCGGCTGCAGCTGCAAAAAGATCTGACCACTGCACTGCGTGCAAATGTTGATCAGCTCCTCGCCGAGCGAAAGGCACGAGAAGATCACATCAGGGCCCTAGAGGAGCACATCAGGGCCCTGAAACAAGGGCTGAACGAAGACTTGTTTGAACTGCTCGGCGTCTTGGAAAACGCAGAGTGCGAGGAAAGTTGTGTCATGGATGTAGCGGAGCCTGCTGTAGAGGTGCCTGCGTCAGATCCAGAAGAGTTCCCCGAGACCCAGGTCATCCCTTTCCTAGGGATGGCCCCTCCGGTGTTGCCTCCTGCCGTCGATTGCGGTCTAGATTCGCAGCCGACTGACACTCTGGATTCCATGATGATGACTCGCTGGAATAATTATGCGTAAGGCATAAGTTTTCTGCACAAAGCTCGTGGGGTGCGAGAGAAAAAGGTGCATCACGTGTTTGTGTGTGTGTGTGTCGTGTTTCGTTTAGGCGTGTAGGGGTTCGGGCTTTGGGTGTGTGTGGGTGTGTGTGTGTGTGTGTGTGTCGTGTTTTGTTTAGGCATCTAGGGGTTTGGGCTTTGGGGTTGTGCTCTGTGTGTGTGTGTGGATTTCAGTGGGAATGCTTACAACGACATGTGAAAGCATGTGTGCCTGGCTAGTTGCTCGAGAATTTAGGAGCAATATCGCGGGTTTTGGCAGGCAGCGATTCTGCACTTGCGTGTCTGCTGGGGTCGTAGCAACCTAGCTGAGCTGACGGGTTTCCCCGGTGCAAGTACTTGGTATGGGAACCACTTTTTCCGAATTTGAATTTTTTATGGCTCCGAAAACGAACCCCCCAGTCGTTTTGATGACAAACTTGAAAATCGTCTCGTTTTTTCCAAACCCCCTACTGGTTTAGCTCGAACCCCCCACGGCTGTAGATGAGAACTTCATACTTGCACATTCCCACTCGCTCCGATTCCTCCCAACCAGCACTGGCACCATTGGGCGATTCCAGCACGCAATGCATAGGGTGCCTTGAGACAAGCTTGCACTCGTGCCGAGGGACGAGGTACGACCGTGTATGCTAGCGCTAGTATCCTTGTGTGAAACATTGAAGGTGTTTCGCTAGAAAACGTCGAAGGGGTTTTCCTCTGAAGCTAAACAGAACGAAGCCAATCTGTTTGCTAGAGTGTCTGCACATGGCTGGAGGAACGTGAGCTATTCCGTGGCCATTGTGCTGAAAGGCAGCCTGCTACTGGGTGGCAATTTTCGAGGGGGAAGAAAGGGGAACAGGGTTAATTAGCCCTGCTTTGGGTTCGCTGCCATGTCGGACAGCGACGCTACTCTGGCGTCCACGACGCCCGACGGCGATGGAGCAGCCGCTACCGTGGTCGGGGATTCCCCGCCCCCGCTAATGTATCTTCGTGGGTCCCGAGTACTCTGGCTAGTGGACCTCCCCCTGAGAAGGCTGATGTCCTCTTCGAGGGCTGGGAGGTGGAGGCAGAGCTAGAGGCGCAGGCTACGGTCCAAGCGGAACGTAGGCGCACGCTGGACAGGGCCTACCGGCACCTCGTCAGCCAGGGTATCGGTGCTAGACCTGGACGAGTCCGAGGACATCGCCAAGCAGCTAGCATTCCCTACCAGCCCTGGCTATGGGATGGTGTTTACTGCTGGTTGCAGGAAGCACGGCAAGAAGCTACCATCTATCAGCGGACACACGGCTATTTCCAAGACGATATCACTTGGAGGGCCCGGATGCCGCCGCTACCTGCCCCGGTAGAGGAGGCAGTGGAAGCTACGCACGCACCAGCAGTGCCGCTAAGACCTTCGCGGGAGCGCAACCGGAAAGTGCTACAGCCCGGCGCCTTGGGAGCCGCTATACAAAGGAGAGGTTGCTGGAGGTCTGGGCGAGAAAGCTCCGGGAGGAGCTGCTAGAGCCTGGACCCGGTGGCGGCGTTGCTACTCCCGGGGAAGACCCGAGCTTCAACCTTGAAGCGCTACCTGACAGTGGCGCCAATGGCTCCACGCCGCTAAGCTCAGGCCGCCTCCGGGCACCGCTGCAGATCTGGTGGATTACCTGCGCCGCTAGAAGCGACGAGCCGTGCGGCCAGTCGGTACCCGAGGCTATTCTCAAGGCTGTCTCCTGGATAGAGAAGGTGGCCGACTTGCCGGTCGAGCTAAGGGCTACCCACGGCGGCCTGGTCTGGGCCTTAAAGACAGTATTGTGGACCAGCTGACGCCGGCCTGTGGGCTGGCGGGTCTGGGCCTGGGCTAAGTTGGTCAAGGTTTGGGCCACGCGATGGTCGGAAGAACCATTCTGCCGTCTGGGGCTACGAGAAGGGTCAAGGAGCTACCAGTGGTGGTGTCGGAGCACCTTCCTGGTGGCGGACACCTGGCTGGCTACAGGCTTTGACCTCCTCAAGGCCCATGCTAACTATGCCCGGGACTATTTGATGCCCCGCCTGGGACGGGCTGGGCAGCTAGAGGCGAAGATCGCTACTTATATATGGCGGCTATGGCGGGTTGCTGGCAATCATGGGCTACCCCCTGGAGGTCCAAGGCTACTGGAGCACAGTGAGCGCTCGGTGCTACCCACAGGGTTGGCGCTAAAAGATATCCCACCGCAGGACAAAGATCTGCTAGGGCGTTGGAAACCCGAGGGTTCCGACGTGTATGCTAGATCCTTTGCGGCCTTTGCGGGTAGGGTTTCCCGGCTCCAAGCCCTTTTCGCTAAGACGGCTAGAGGGGAGGACCGCTACGAAGCGCTAGACGAGAGGGAGATTGCCGCCGATCTTGAGCCTTGGCGAGGGCTAGGCTCACCCCCCTCGAGGCTAAGAGCATGGCGGACCGGCTACGAGTCCTGGATGACAGGCCAGCTACTTAGGCGGCCGCTGTGCTTATAGCATGTATAAACGTGGTTATAACTGCGGCGGTATGGGCTTCCTCGTAGACAACTTAGGACGAGGGACGAGTTACGACTACCTGGACATTGGTTTGTAGGGGTTTATTTTGGTTTATTTGTAGAAACCAGAATGTTTTGGTTTCTTTATTTTCTTGGTTTTTTTTGTTTTCTTGCTTCTTCGGTTCAAAACTGAAAAATTGCACGAACCGGTCTTTATACCGTGCACATTAACACAAACACAACTTATACAGTGTGTTGCGTCGAAAATGAACATGTGTGCAAACAAAAACATTATTGAAATGGTCTTGTCATATCGAAACAGCACGATTCTTTAAGCACCTGTACGGATATGTCAACATGAGTGTGTGTTGCTATATATACTGCATGCATGTAAACATGCACATATACATATACATATACATATACATATAGATATATATATATATATATATATATATGAATGCATTTATCTGTATACCCATATATATATATATATGTATATAGAGCTCACCACTGCTGCCCTGGCACAGGGAAACCCGTGGGGTTGGGGACTGCACACCATACAAAGCGAATAGCTTCAAAGACAGACATTGCGCAGACCGAGACTGCAAAGACGGACACTGTGCAGACAGAGACTGCATAGCAAGCACTCGGCCCCCTTGTGTTTTTTCTGCCAGCACTCGAGCTGCTGATCAGCACTGAAACCTCCAGGGTTTCCATTGGAGCCAAGAATATATGAGCCATCTCTGAGCCGTGCGCTTTGCAGCTCCCAGAGGGTGAGCACAACGACTCATTCGAGAAGAGACACCCATATAATCTTCGTCCATCTGTGTCGTAAAGCACGCCGGATTAAAGCCCCAGCTGTGGCCCTTCGACTGTGCCATATCATGCTCGATGTGCAGCAGATAGTGATACTTCGGGGTGATGTTAAAGAACAACCACCCTTGAGCATGGCACAACTGAGCAGCATTCGAGTAGCCTGCGAAAAAACGGGCGAGGAGCGATCGTCCAGTCCGCATCTGTGCATTGTTCATCCACACCCGATTCGAATCCACATAACACAGGCGATGAAAGTCGTCGAGCGCTGTAAGAAAATCGTACACATGCCCAGTGACATCATCGAATAGCCAGGGCCTCGACAGATAGTCCACCAGCCATTTCGTGAGCAAGCGGATATCAGAGCCTTTCCTCAGTAGAAGAAAAGCATTTCGACACACATGCTTTATATAGGGTGTGTGTGTATATGTGTATATTTTTATGTACATATACTATCTGTTTATTTGTTTATTTGTTCAATCACTCAGGGTTTACAAGGAATCGACTTATGCACATGATTGCACATGCTTCATATACAGTTTACCATATTGCACAAAAAAAGACTTCATACAGAACCCCTTTCCACTTCATGCTGAACACCATGCTAGATAGTAACAGTGCTTTATCACTTCCAAGAATCCAGGAAGTCTCCGGCATCTTCGCTAGAGACTTCCAGCCCATTTTCTCTCGTGAGAAGGTCTTGACATCCGGTGTCTCATGTAGGATGTTCTTGCAAAAGAAAGCGAAGGCTTTGTAGGCCTCTTTCAAACATGCCGGCACCGACACACCACCTTCAGTGGGGTGGAAGTGCCCACCAACCGCAACCAAGAAACATATCACAGATGCAACACAGGTCCTCGCTATGCCCAGGTGGGATATGTGGAACAAATCCTTGGCCAGGAATCTGTCATCTTCACCTCCCGGCAGATCATGCAAAGGACTCGATGTATTCCAAGGAGGTTGGGTTGCAATCGTCGTTCGCCACAGGGCATTCCGGCGGAAGTCTCCGAATGGGAGTCCCCTTCCATCCGCTAAGCACCACGGGCACATCGGGTTCGGGTCATTCGTAAAGTTGCGGCCTGAATGTGATAGCTTTGCCTGGGCTGGCAAATCTCCTTCAAGACGGATTAGCACAAGGTAAAATTTTCCGTTTCTCGAATCAAGACCATCATAGTAGCAGTCTCTTGCATCCTGCACGAAGTGCCTGAGAAGGCTGTCCAGGGTTTTGTTGCCTTGGCCAAACCCAGCGTGCTCATCCTCACGAAACCAGGGAAGCAATACATAAAAATGACAAGCCACATCATGCTTTAAACAAACATATAGGGGAAAATGTTTGAACCATATATGTATACATATATATATATGTAGGATTATCTATACTGTCTACACTTACAGCATATGACTACATGGCAAATAACCTCTGGTGCCAACATGGACCTGTCAACTGACCCTGGTTGCATCCTTGTAGTCATCAGCCAGCATTGCAGCATAAAAGAAGCAATGCAGTGAACTCCTCAGCCCTGCTTTCAGAACAGGGCCCCAACTATGTTGATAAATTCCAGCTCGCCGGAAACTGGTGCCTTCATCAGCATGCATTCTGATTGGTATGCATCTTTGCAAATGGTCTCCGTGAGTTGTAAAAACATCATGGTCATGCCAGGTGGTGCGGAACCGGGCCCAGAATTGCGCCAATTCCGTCTCCACTTTCACCAAATCCGTATACTCATGCCCAAACAACAGCAATTTCGGATAATCTCGGAGAATCTCTGTCGCCAGCTGCTTCATCGGCAGAACAGGGTGAGCCTTTGGGCCATTTGTAAACTCCACAGTCCTCATTTGCACCTGTGTCCCTAGCATGAAGCCCAGAGCCTGCACGTTTCCCAGAAACACTGTCTCCTTGTCACTCGTGGAGTTGTGTGCCAATCCCAGCTGGATGTATGTGTTCTTCCAGGCATCCCCATCTGCTGCTGTCTGTCCATTGTCGTATGCAACTCGGGAGGCTTCAGCAGCATTATGGTCCTTAAATATCTGCACTGAACACAGTAAGGCTACAGCACACACACTCACAGAAACAGTGTGCTTCAGCATCTAATGCCAAGGGGCAATGTAGGTCTTGAGGACATTTTCAACGACCCGGGCACCTGCGCAAGGGAACTGTCTGTGTATGCATACATTCCTTCATGCAAGTTCTTCCTTTATGTTCGAGTTTGAAGTTTCATGTCTTGTTGCAGACATATATAGATAAAGCAGCATACTTCAACTGATATCTATACATATACAGACGTTTACATACATGCAAGCAGGCACATACATATGCACACACATATATGTATATATATATATATATATATGTATACACACTCACTTAACATATAATACACATATACATAGATGATACATACATCCAGATGCATGAACAGACTTGTCATGCAGTCACATAAGCACACCGAATAATATATATATGTATATTACTCCCAGTGCTGAGCGCAACGCAGTGTAGGGATGGCACGCTCTTTTCACGATGAGCCTGCAAATCTCGCAGCTCACTTTGGCTCGAGCTTTCCAGCTCGAGCCAGCAAGCATTCGGTGTTCGAATGCCTGGACCATGGATTTCGGTCGTGAACGACCCAGATGGCTGGCGTGATGCCAGCCTCGGCGAAGGCGACTACGTTGAGTTTGCCGCCTTCGATACGAGCCACTGCCGCCAGGGAACGGTCGTTGCCAGAATAGACCGAGCCGGAGAGCGAGGACGGACCGGGCAGTGGCTTGAGACCACTTTCATCGCAGCCAGCGATGATCACTTAGTGTGGTGGTTGAACAAAGGGGGTGGTCAGGATGACCACTGGCAATTCGAGGTGCATCTTTGCGCCGGCACCCAACGAAGCTGCCGGCAGAATCGACGAGGCCGCGGTCGTGATTTTCACACGGACCGCTTCCGGGTCCTTACGGTGGGGGACCTCGCGGATCGTAAAGTGGACTGGCTGAGGACCCAGCCTTCAAAGAAGTATGTGGAGGAGGAGCTGGAACGGCTCTCAACACTCCCTAAGGGGAAGGATGGCGATCCGGCGGGCGGAGACCGGGGCGGCCTGGACTTCGGTGAAAGAGGTCTGCCAGAGGCCGAGCCATCAGAGAATGATCCAGCCCTGAAGGGGCTGTCACAGCTCGAGAAGGAGCTTTCAAAGGACCGAGTGAGAAGGAAACGTGAGGCCGAGGGCCGCCACAATGAGCTCCCCACGGGGAAGGAAGGAGGAGGAGAAAAGAAAGCAAAGAAGAAGAAGAAGAAGAGGAAGCGACAAGCTGAAGAATCCGCCCAAGGGCGAGCAAAGAGTGCGCCAGCTGGAGGAGGTGCGGCTGGATGGTTCGGCCAGCCAGCCCGGAAGGCCGAGGAGGTCCGCAGCAGCTCGACCTCCAGCCCGAGCACCTCGACCCGGGACAAGAAAAAGAAGAAGAAGAAGGACCGGGCAAAAGCTCGAGAATCCAAGGATCGAGGTCCCTTTGGTGCTGGAGCCAAGCTAGGGTATGGAGATGGAGACGCGGCGGCATCAGATGACACTTCGGAAGACAGCCAAGTTTTTCGCGAAGGCCCCCACTCCGGAGGAAGCAGCCTGCAGCTTCAGCTGCAAGAGTACGCGATGAAGCGTCCGGGTCGGCTAGCTTCCAGACTTCTGCAGCGCATGCAGGTGATGGTCGCGAAGGAGGGGGGGCCGTTGACAACCGCCGCACGCGGCAGTCTGACTCCACCGGTGGCGTCGAATTGGGTCCTGAGCGTGATGGCCCCCAAGCAGATCCAGATGAGGCTCATGCGCGAGATGCGCACGCTGGCGGTGACCCTGGACGAGATCGCAGCCGGTCGTTACCAGTACGCGGCGGACGTACTGGCGCAGCGCCTGAAGGCGCTCGAGCTCTTTCAGAGCGACGGGTCCTGGAACCGGGCCCAATACTTGGAACTGATCGAGGTCGAGGGCCCATCCCTGCTAGGCCGCGACGAGGCCGTGATGGCGTCGAAGGAGTGGGCCGGAGAGCTTCGCATGAGGAAGCTCCAGAACAAACAAGGGAGACCAGAAGGGCGAACAGAGAGGAGGAGCGAGCAAAAAGGAGAGAAGGACGGCAAGAAGGGGAAAGGAGGCAAAGGAAAGGACGGAGCCCCGCACGGGTGAGAGATGAAGACCCGGCCATGGCCGAGGCCGGGGCTGCAGCTGAGGTCCATGGTGGCCCTCCGGTTGCGGAAGTTGCGGGCTCCGACCTTCTTGCCTCCATGCTGTCGGGTGAGTTCCTTGACTTTGAGCTGGGCGACCTGGGCCACAGCGATGACGAGGGACTCCCCACGGGGAAGGCTTTGCAGAAGCAATGGGCCGACATGGGGCAAGCCTTGCCAATGGACGAGTGGAGGAAGAAGATGAAGGACGTCCTGGATAGGAAGCCAAAGCTGCGCTCGGTGGGACGGCTGCTCGTAAGCTCCATTCTTTCGTTGAAGACACCTTTGGGAAGCTTTGCCAGGGAGTTTGCGAATCCGGAGGGGCTGCCTCAGGGCGCCGAGCCCGCATCGGGCAGCGGAGGTCCCGCCCAGCATGGCGATCTTCTTCCTATCCACCCCAGCTTGGTGGAAGATGGCTTGGAAGGAATCTCCACACACAATCTCCCCTGGGTCCAGGCCGTGGTCATGTGCCTAGACTTCCTTTACTGCGCTGGGTGGTCTAAGGCGGTGTGCGTCCCGATGCAAGGTACCCTGGGCACCAATCAGAAAAAGGCTCTGGCCAGGATCGGTGGTCAGATCGACCGGCTTCTTGAGCACGAGGTCAGGATGCCCTCTACGGAGGAGGCAGTGACAAAGCTGGGCTCTAAGAAATTTGATTACAATGGTCAACCGGTAGACCACATGCAAGACCTGGTTGCTGAAAGGGTGTTGGCCGCGTGGCCTCGGCCCGGCTCCGCTGCGGTAGTCAACTTGCAGGAGTGTGTACCGCACGAGCTAAAGGAGGCGCTCAACAACCCGCGTGACTACCTCTTGCCTGAGACGGAGCTTCCGGAGCGGCACCGGGGCTCGCGGGTGAGGGCCAGCGAGACCGAATGGTTCAAGATAGTGAAAGCCGGTTACGACCGAGGCATGATGGTGGCTGTCCGGGAGGAGGACATCCCTCAGGATAGGAGAGGGCACCTGATCACCAATGGGGCTGGTGGAGTCGCAAAGGTCAAGATGGATGGTGGAACCCGGGTGGAGGCGCAGCGCTTTATCTCCATCCTCTGCCCCACAAATGACGCAATGCGCCTGCTGCCTGGGGCACAGGACACGCTCCCTTACATAGGCCAGCTCACGGGGGTGCTGGCTGAGAAGGACTCCTACCTGGTCCTCGACTCAGAGGACCTCCAGTCGGCCTTTAACCTCTTTAGGCTTCCGGAGCAGTGGGCCCCGTTCTTCAGTTTCTCTCAGAAGGTTCGGGGGGACGCCTTGGGAGGATCTAGCCACACTATGCTGAGACCGGGGCTCCGGGTGGTGCCGATGGGTTGGACATCGGCGGTGACACTGGTCCAAGCAGCCATCCGGCACATAGCGTACACCATTGCGAAGATTCCTCCCCACGGGAATGTGACAATGAACGCTGCGCTGCCGGAAAGTGAGACTAAGACTGTCCTATACCTGGACAACTTTGATGAGATTCGCCACCTCAAGAAGGAGATCGCAGCAGACCAGGTTGGAGCACCGTCGGCCAACCACAAGAAGTTCATCGAGGCATGCGAGTGCCTTGGTCTGCCAAGGAATCAGGGAAAACAGCTCTGCGGAGCCCTCAATGGTGCCCTCCAAGGAGGAGAGATACTGGGAGAGGCCAGGGTGCTCAGGCATGCCTACGACAAGACGATCGAGTTGATCTCGTTGGGGCTGGGCCTCCTGACTCAGGCCACCCTGCCCGAGTTTTTCTTGAGACACTGGACGGGGAAGGCGGCCTTTGCAGCGGCTTTTAGGCGACCCCTTTACTCGATCCTCCAGGAGGTGTACGGGGCGCTCGAGTTCTCGCGAGAAGGGGCGCACCTCACGCTCCCCTTGCCCGCCGTTGATGAGGTGCTGCTCTTCACGGCGCTGGTGGGCCTGGCCGAGACAGACCTTTCCTCTGAGATCTCGGCGGAGATCTCCTGCACCGATGCATCACCCACAGGAGGTGGCAGCTCGGTGGCAACCGTCTTTAAGGACAAGACCCTTATCCTCCCTGACCCAGTGGAGGATGTCAATCTCTGCGGCTGCTGCGGAAAGGAGCTACAGGAGGTGGCCCATCGCACCTACCCCTGCTCCCGGCGCTGTGGCCTACGGATGTGCACCCTCAAGTGCTCGAGAAGCCACGAAGATGGCTGCAGCAGGAAGTGGTGGCACACGCCCACCTTTGGAGAGAGATTCTCTGGAGAAAACTATCCTCTCAGCAAGGCCGTCGGCTTGAAAGGAATCTCCACACAATCTCCCCTGGACTATGATGTCCCGGATGATCGGTGGGACTTCCGCACAGATGCTGGGAAGAACCGGCTCGATGAGGAGGAGTTGGCGGGAGACCTCATGTGGTCCCATTGGTCTCCAACAAGGGTTACATTCTCGAAGAAGAGAGGGCAAGGCTTCTGGAACAGATGGAACAGATGGGAGGAGAACGAACCCCGGCTAAGAAGCGGCGAAAGGCCAGAGGGGATCCAAAGGCTCTCGAAGTCTGACCTCGTCCAAGTGAGGCAGGCAAACGCCATTGCCAAACGAGCAGCGCGAGGCTTGGTGGAGGCCAAGAGAAGAGGAAGGTTTGCGTCACTTGAGCACCCCTCTACTCCTCGTACCTGTGGGATCTACCAGAGATCACTGCTCTCTACGTAAGGCTGGCAATGGAGTGTCTGCTCGCTCTGTTGCTTTGGTGGTCACAAAGAGGAATGGATTGCCCTCCTCCACAACTCTGAGTCACTACATGCAGTGATTCACAAACCCACATGCGAGTGTGACAACCCTCCAAGGAGGAGAAATGATGATGACATCGAGGAGAGGGACACTGAATACCCTTGGTCCTTCTGTCTGGTGATGGCGGAGGGCATCCACGACGAGCTCACCTCCCTTTACAGTGCCCCCTTTGGGGCAAAGCCCATGAACCTGGAAAACCTCATGCGGCACCAGCTGAGGGGAGCCACTCGAGGACTGCAGCAGGAAACTGCAGTGGCGTGGGCCGTGAGCCAGTGCACCAAGTTCCTCGAGACGATGGAAAGTGGCCAGGAGGCTGAGCACTTCAAGTGGCTCCTCAGGCACTCTCATCACACGGGATGTGATGTTCGCCTCACTGACCGAGGTGGCGAGCTGTATGGTCACCGGCCAGGACCATATCCAGCGTTCCGCTGGCTTTGGAGGGATGTGCTGTCCTACAAGTGGAAGGAGGAGCAGCACATCAATATCCTCGAACTGACGGCGTTCCTCACGGAACTCCGCCGCAGGGCGCGCAATGAGAATGAGTTGGGAAAGAGGTTTTTCAATGTCGTGGACTCCTTGGTGTGCTTCTATGTCCTCGGCAAAGGAAGGTCTTCCTCCAAACGACTCAACCGGGTTAGCCGAAGGATCGCTGCGGTATCTCTGGGAGGCGGGCTTATCCCCTTGACACTGTGGACCATCAGCAAATGGAACTACTCTGATGCCGCGTCAAGGAAATACGAACCGAAATGATCACCTTCGGTTCTTGGGGATACTACCTCGCACTCGCAGATCCTACGAGCGAGCAGTTTCGGCTTTCTTTTTATATTTGCGCGCCCTACGGGGCAGGCTGCCCCGTTCAATGCTTGAACTTGATGAGGAGTTGGCCGAATACATCAATCACCTTTACCAGGAAGGTGACCCGCTGTCCTTGGCCGGATGGACAGTGAGTGGGTTGAAGCGCTTCCACCCACGATGCCGGCCACATCTCCTCACGGCGCAAGTTTTCTTGCGCAATTGGCAGCGGGTGCACCTGCCACGCCGTACAAATCCCATGTCGTGGTTGGGAGCAAAGGCCATGGCAAGCGCGGCTTGCCAGGCCAACAGGCCTGACTTGGCCTTGGTCATCCTCCTCGGGTTCGCTTTCTTCCTACGAACCATGGAGCTCCTGGCCATGCAAGTTTCACATGTACGACTTTTTCCTGAGAATGGGACAATCATTGTGGCCATTTTGAATTCAAAGACTTCCAGAGGGCTCCAGCAATCCCTTTCTCTGCATGAACCAGCCCTCGTGAAAGTTATTGCGTTTTTGCTTTCCCGGGCACGCCCGAGCAGGCTCCTTTACGAGCCCTCTGTGGCCGTCTTTCGCAGGGAATTTGCCTCCTTGGTGACCTTTGTGGGGCTTGATCCTGCCCTGTTTCTACCGTATTCCCTACGACGTGGAGGAGCCACACAGTTTTATCAAAGAACGCAGAGCCTCGGTCGCACCATGGTGCAGGGCAGGTGGAAGGATGCCCAGACGGCTAGAATCTACATTGATGATGCCAGGGCAACGCTCATCCAGTTTCTTCTTCCCCCGCCCGCGGCCGCCCTACAGCACCGGCTGTCTTCTTTCTGGCGGGTGGCTTTGCCAGGTTGATGTCGCCTACTGGGGTGTTGGCGCTTGTTTTTGGAAAGGTTGGCGCAAAGTGCCAGAGTGGACACCTCCCACGGGAGAGAGGCCCATGGGCCAGACATCGGCGCTTCTGCAGTTTTCACCTTTGCGGCAATGGCCGCGCGCCAACCTTGATGCTTTCCAGCCTCTCCGGAAAATGGGCTTCGCTTCGTGAATACTCCCAGTGCTGAGCGCAACGCAGTGTAGGGATGGCACGCTCTTTTCACGATGAGCCTGCAAATCTCGCAGCTCACTTTGGCTCGCCACCACCGCCCCACCACCGGCGCAAAGTGCCAGAGTGGACACCTCCCACGGGAGAGAGGCCCATGGGCCAGACATCGGCGCTTCTGCAGTTTTCACCTTTGCGGCAATGGCCGCGCGCCAACCTTGATGCTTTCCAGCCTCTCCGGAAAATGGGCTTCGCTTCGTGAAATATATATGTATATATTTGCTCACCCCCCCCCCAAGATCCACGCCTGCCCTGCCCAGGTACTGGCCTCAGCCTTCATCGAGCCACCCAGAGCGCAGTACATCAACAAGATCTTGCTCTACCTGAACCTTCGTAGCTGAGTAGGTATTCTTTAACCTTTGTGGGGTTTACATAATCCTACCTACCTTAAGTGAAAAGGTTAACCCTTTTAGGGCTAGGGTACTCAGCCCCCAAGGAACAAGGAGATGGAGGTAGTGTGGAATCTCAAGACCATTCATTGTGCGACTTACCGTCAACCCTAAACCTTAATCCCAAACTATCCTTCCAAATCGATACCCTAAATCGAACACGCTGTGATGCGGCTCAGAGTGGCCCCGTCTGAAAGTAAGAGTAGAAAGAGAGAACTAGCGCAACATGCCGTTCTACAATACCATGTGGAAGATGCATCTGGCACGGGCGTTTCCAGTGGACGTGCTTGAAGCAATCATCGAGTTCGCGAAGAGATGCTGTGCTATCATATCAAGTTTTTTGTTGCATGTACGGACCGGAACACAAGCTCTTCTGATTTTGGATCACAAATCCTGTCAAGATCCTCCGCTTGGGCCCGTGCCGTCGGCACCAGTGGACTGGGAAGCGCATATCGATACACTTCCAAACGGCACTTGGCTGTTTACTCCTTTTTTGTTTATATAGCTCTTTAGGCTCACGTATATTATGCTCATAATGCAGATGCAAGGAGATCGGGTCATGCAGTACCGCGAATTGGTCTACAAAGTAGCCCGTGGCGGTGATCAGCTTCTGAGTGAGGAAGACATGTTCGCCCTATCCCACTAAGTGGGACAAGCGTCGATTCTCACAGAACTTGCTGCAAGTATGGAAAACATGCGGAAGTGCATGCACTTCTGTGTTTTGCTTCCCAGTTCAATTAAAGCGGTCACGCCTCCGTCGTCTCGTAGTTGATTGCGTGTTCATAAGCATATCTTGGTATATGCAACATTTTCTTCTGCCACACAGAACAAACAAAAAATCCTCGCATTTAGTATGGAGCATCAAGCACACAATCCTTGCATGTAGTGTGGAGCATCGACGCAAAAATCCTCGCATCAAGTATGGAGCATCAGCAAAAGTCTTCGCATTCAGTGTGGAGCATGGAACAGTAATCTCATCCCGACATCTTGCCGCAAGCAATGCCGACGTTATTTCATGAACTGTCGGAGAGAAAACCAAACTGCAGCCTGCGCCTCGAGCACCGATTCTTACAGCAATCTTCGCCCTTTGCCCTTTCTCATTGACGCCATGGCCAGCTCCATTCCGTCGCGCCCCGTGAGCTTGGCCCAGAACGAGCACTCAGGCAGCCTGGACGGCAGCATGACTTTTGAGGAAGCCATGGCGAACACGGACGGCTTAAAGGTGATTACCTTGGAAAAACCCATGATTGTTCACAAAGAGCCAGGCTTTGTGAGCATAGGTGACCTTCCAGCAGTCAACAACCTCACAGATGTCCTCAAAAAGAAAACGCAATTCCTGGACGTCATTATGGGGTACGAAGGACCAATTGACTTCAAGAGCCTGGAGCAGTTGTTCTTGCAACAGCGCTACGCCGACCTCCCTGACCCCATCCGCAACAAGGGCAGGGTGGAAGTGGCTTACAATATGCAGTTGGTCATTGTGCCCTGTGATGACAGCAAACACCACATCATCAAGCATGTCAAGTTCGTGGACGGCACCAAGGTACTCCACTCCACCATACTTAGTATGTGCTCGGGTCAAGCCTTGGAGATTGACTATCAGGGCCGCTACAGAGATGGAGGTCGTGCCTTCCAGTACATGCTAGAGAATATGGGCGGGTTTCAGGTTCGCTATCAGAAGCTGGTTCCTGCAGGAGCTTCCAACAAGGTTCCGAAAGAAACGGAGGACATCAGGCGAGGCTTCCACTTCATCAAGGACCACGGGCCCGAGGACAATGCTCAGGGCGAGTTCACCATTTGGACCGAGGAACAGGTGAACGACCCCAGTGGTCCCTTGTACCGTTGGGAGCGCGGCGTAATCAAGGAGTACCTCAGGTGTCTAGCTGACGCAGGTTCACAGGCCAATACCATCAGGGATTGGCCTCTGACCTTGAAGAGCTTTACACCTTGGGCACTCAATGACGTGATTATGCCCTTGCTACCCTTCTTGAAAGAGCACGCCGTTATCTACATTGGGAGATCGCAGGTGGGAAAAAGTCCGCTTTCCTACACCCTTTCTTCCTTGATCTCGGCTTATTGGCTCTTTCAAGAGGGCAAGACAGACACTCCTCCGATGTTTCAGACATGCAGTCATCTGGACTATTTCCGAAAGGAAAAAGGCCGGAAGACCAAGCCCAGGGTGTTCGACGATGGGAACCTCAACCTCGAGCACCCTGCGTCTGTGAAGGCGGTGACAGAAGTCTCGGGTCTGGACCGGAAAACAATTGCGCGCTGGAATGCCAGCTCGTATGAGAAGAACCAGCTGTGCCAAATCTGTTCCAATCCGTATGATAAACAGATTGAGCCGGCCATGGTGCTCAACACGCCCTCAGACTTCGTCCCGTTCCAGACCTTCTTTAACATCGTGAGACCTTCCTTCCACAAGGACTTCAACGACGAGGACCTCATGGGTATTTTCAAGCGGTCTGTCGTCGTTGTGTTCACCCAGGTTGCTATCTACATCCGATTGCCGGGTACCCAAACAGACCCCGTCAAGCGGCTGGCATGGCCGGAGGGAGATGTAGGGATGGTCTCCCCTTGCGCACGTCCCACCTATGACGCCTTCCTGAAGGGAGAACTCGTCGCCCAACCTTCTTCGTTCAATGACGATTTGCAGTGGAGTCTCAATCTTTTACAGGCTGCATTTGACAAGGAGCCCGTTGATGTCTACTATCTCCATGAAGCGGCAGATCTTGAAAGTGCTGGGCCTCAAACCAAAAAGCTCAAATCCGTCAGGTCATCCTCTGCACTTTTGGGCACGGAGAAGGTCGAAGATGCGAACCTCAAGAGCGACTCTTCTTTATCCGCACCGCCCGCACCCGCACCATCTTCGCATGCCGCACCTGGCCATGGACTCGTCACTGCCACTCATATTGCACAATGGAAATTATTTTATCAACTCATAAGTTTGTCTCTACACGGATAGGTTTGAGGTTCATGGCAACATGTGCTCGTGACCAGGTGAAGAAGGAGCCCCAGGAGACGACGCCTTCCGCCTTCAAGCAGGCCTTCGGAAAGAGGGTCCTGCAGCTCAATATCTCCAGCGGGTCCGAAACGGCGGCGCCCGCGGAGCTTCCCAAACCCTCCCCAAAGGATGAGGCGAGCGACTCCGAAAAGGCTGTGCTTGCCGAATCTTCCAAATCCTCTTCAAAGGACGAGATGGATGTTGATGAAGAGTTCCCGTACAACCTTTCCCAAGAACTTGAGGAGGAGTTTGAAAAATGCGATGACGCCGGCGACGAGTGAGACAAGTGTAGTGCCGTTTCTCGTAGGCAGCATGCAATGACGAATCATCGCATGAAGTATGGGGCATCAAACAAAAAATCCTAGCATGTATTATGGAGCATCACACCAAAACTCCTTGCAAACACTCTTAAGCATCTTCAACCTCTAATGCTGCTGACTCAAGCCCCACTATGGGCATGCTGCCGAAAGTGCTTTCTCGATTTGAAAAGCGGTACCCAGGTAGTGGACCGCATTTTGCAGACTTGAGTCCTCCCACACACTTTTCTTAGGTCCGCGTGAGGCACAAATGAAATGTTTCGGTCGCTAATGTTTCTTTGCAACTGCCTGCTGTCATGCACCACGTATGCCAGGAGCAGAAGCGAAGAAGGTGACTCGTACTGTAGCTTCTTTCTGCCATCTCAAGTACTGTAGTAGTCGCCCAAGCTTTCATCGACATCATGCCGAAGAAGGTGATGAAAGCTATGAAAAAGCCGCAGTTTCCTCTTCCGAAACGGGGGAAACATCGTGTTCAAAGGCGCCCAGCGGCCACGAACACCTACGTCCCTGTGCCCTATGTTCGTCATGGTCAGCCAACCACGAAGAACAAGGCACACCGCCAGCGCTGGGGACGATCAGTTCAAATGTTCATGGCATTGCGGGGCCGCAGGCTCATAGAGCGGCTGCAAAAGGATCAGATCCTACCCAACTGGGAGGGTCACACATGTCCTCGTTGCAGCACAGGCTCTCTTGGTAGTCTCAAATACTTCAAGGAGAAGAAGGTTTGGGCCTACCGCTGCAGCCACCGTCATTGCCACAAGATGTTGCAGCCTCACGACTATCACCCCATCTTCTTCCTCGGTGCGGGCAACTCCCAGACAAAACTGCACGAGCAAGCGGCTGTGCTCTACGCGGCAGTGGCAGGGGTCTCTTCTCAGGCAGCTCATCTGGTCCTGGATATGGACCACAAGCCAGTGGAGAGAATCTTTGCCAACTTGGAGGTTGCCCGTGCCCGGTATGTCACCGCGAAGGAGAAGGACATCACCTACGGTGGCAACTGGGAGGATGCGGAAGTCGACGAGGTCGACATTGGCAAAAGTACCGACAACAACATTGAGGGCGATTACAACACGAAGTGGGAACAGTGGGGCGGCCTTGTCCAACGAGGCTGTCCTTCATCGCTTCGTCTTTTCAAGCTGGAGCCGAAGCTCACCAAAAAGCGAGCTCCCGGCCCGGGGCCTATCAGGAAACGAGACTGGAAGGGCATCGGGATGAAGCTCCTCGCCAACTCCAAGGTTGTCTTGCACAGCGACGGCGCCAAGGCCTACAAACTCAAAATCCCGGAGGTGATCCACTGCAACGTCGTCCACCAGAAAAAGAAGGTTAAGATCAACGGCAAGGCCTCCCATGAATCAAGAACATGTCTTTCTGAACATGCCCATTACTCCAGTTCATGTCAATTCACACGCCTTCTGCACAGGTGCACTGGATCAAGCCTCACTACACGAAAGTGTACAAGGTGAAGTTGCCGAACGGCAACCTTCTGAGCGTGAAAAGCGGCACGCAGATAATCGACCGCTTTTGGGGATATTTGCGTAGCTTTTTGAAGCACACAGATCGCACTCCAGGCAACCAGGCCCTCACAAGGAAGATTCGCTCAGCCCAGTTCACCTACTGGTTTCGCTATGGCAACATGTGGAAAGCCACAGGTACCATGCTTGACTTCCTTTGGAACAATAGCTAGGGGAGCTGCCTTGCCTCTGCAAATGCCATCGCAGGCACCATTTTGATTTAGATGCTCCAGCGGTAAGCTGTGAATCGGCACCCAGCGACTCCTCGCGCACAAAACATCGGCCCGAAGCAATCATGCATCAGTCCTCTCCACATGGTTTGCCGAGACGTCGGACTCATGTTCGTACTGAAAATAATTAGATCGTCCACATCCAACAATCTTTGCCGCAGCATTCACGGTTCCAGCAAGAAACTTAGAGTAGAATGGTCCCTGAACTCTGCTTCTCCAAACCCAAATTTTAAGGACAGTACAGCACTTTAGGGCACTGGAGCTTTAAAAGTGCTGTACTGTCCCTAAATTTGGCCTCTGCCAAACCCAACTTTTAGGGACAGTACAGCACTTTAGGGCACCTCAGCTTCAAAAGTGCTGTGCTGTCCCTAAAATTTGGCTTTCCCAAGCCAAAAGTGCTGTACTGTCCCTAAAAAACCTAAAAAACCTATCCTCCAGAGACTATCGGCTGGGAACGCCTGAAGGTTGCTGGGGGATAGGTTTTTTAGGTTTTTTAGGGACAGTACAGCACTTTTGGCTTGGGAAAGCCAAATTTTAGGGACAGTACAGCACTTTAGGGCACTGGAGCTTTAAAAGTGCTGTACTGTCCCTAAATTTGGCCTCTGCCAAACCCAACTTTTAGGGACAGTACAGCACTTTAGGGCACCTGGGTTTCAAAAGTGCTGTACTGTCCCTAAAATTTGGCTTTCCCAAGCCAAAAGTGCTGTACTGTCCCTAAAAAACCTAAAAAACCTATCCTCCAGAGACTATCGGCTGGGAACGCCTGAAGGTTGCTGGGGGATAGGTTTTTTAAGTTTTTTAGGGACAGTACAGCACTTTTGGCTTGGGAAAGCCAAATTTTAGGGACAGTACAGCACTTTAGGGCACCTGAGCTTCAAAAGTGCTGTACTGTCCCTAAATTTGGCCTCTGCCAAACCCAACTTTTAGGGACAGTAGAGCACTTTAGGGCACCTCAGCTTCAAAAGTGCTGTGCTGTCCCTAAAATTGGGTTTTCCCAAACCCAAATGGAAAGGACTGCACAGCACTTTTCAACACTACTGCTTGTAAAGTGTTATACTGTTATACTGTCACTGAATCTTGACTGTCAAATCAAAATGATAGTGACAGCATACTATTGTGCGTAGTGGTATATCAACAGTCTTTTCCAAAAATACAAGGTATGTCATGCCTTTGGTTCCTTGGCGGTATCTTGGTGTTGGCACTCTGCCTCCCACTAAGCCATTGATTTCGGAACCAGATCCTGGTGTGCAAAATGTTCGATGTCAAGAGTTTGTAGACATGCTATGAGCAAAGAAGCTGTTCTACAGAGAAGCCGTTCCCGCTGGTATTTACAGCACTTTCTGCACATGGAGAAGGTAGGTTCGAAACGCTTGGTTATGCGTGAGAGAGAGGAACAGAGTGGGTGTGGATCTTGGGGGGGGGGGGGGTGACCATATATTTATATGTCTGTATGCACATGCACATAAACAGACATGGACATGGACATAGACACGAGCACATGCACAATGATACATGCATGTACTGTGGCAACATGCATGAGTCTGGGAAATAAGCAAGTGTACATATATATATATATGTATATACACATATTTTATAGATACATTTACAATATACAGGTGTTTATACACATGTTTGTCAAAGGTAACTAGATTTGTTTGAATCTGTGTTCATATCCCTATATCGATATGCTGCTTCCCTTGCAGGTCTATCTACCTGTAAAATCATCAGCTCTGGCAGCACTGTTTTTGCGTGCTTCAGCTGCGGCGACGTGCAACACTGCTGACAGGAACAGATAGTCTGGAACAGCGCATGCCCACGAATGCAACACCATCTATGCTGATGCTGTATACTGCAAACACCTCTAGCAATCTCAATGCTCACACAAACGTGGGACCTGCCAAATCAAAATAAGCCGGCTCTGGCAACTTCATGCACAGAACACTTCAACAGCTGGAGCCCAAGCAGTCACATTTGCTGACCATCGATATCCTCCTCCTCCTCTTTGGCTGCTGCAGGCTTCGCCTTTGCTTTTCTCTTTGGCCTTTGCCTTCGGCTGCGACACCTTGCGCATGTAAGACCTCAACAAACATTGATTCGAAAGCAGCTACATTGTTATATGCATCCCGAAACGTTGCGGCTCACTCACATTGGTTGCATATTTCTAGAGATTGGCATATACACATTGGGGCCTTGTGGATTGGATGCGGGGTGCGAGGAGTACTCTTGGTATACAAGCAGGACAAGAAGCACAGTGACATTTACTGCCCATAGCCAAGAATACCCGACACAACAAGATTGCTAAGCAAACGCTAGCTGTTTACATCCAGATGAGTATGATAGAGCTGCCATGACATCATGCACACATGCCCCCAGCATTTATGTTTCTGTAACCCATGCCCTCATGTGATCAATCATGTCCGTACATCAAAATGCAAAATAGAAGAACTGCTGTGTAGATAGATATATATATATACACATATAATTGTATGTACATGCTCACACACACACATATATATATATATATACATATATACATATATGAATACAGAAGGGTCGATCCTGGGGCCTGCGTTTGTGTATAAGGAGTTTTTGAAGTTACGTAGGCCTTTGGATCGGGCTCGTGATGCTTACTTGCTGCTCTTAACCTTCTGTTCACGCATCTTTTGTTGAAATTGATTGATGTCTGTATCGCCTTGTCAAGGATTCTTGTCATGGATTCTTGTCGTGGTGTGTTGGTTTGTTAAATTGTTTTAGTTTTCCTTTACTGTGTTTATAAACACGCCGGCTGTTTATAAACACAGGCGCTGTTTATAAACAAAAGCTTCGCTCGAGGTAGGGGGGGAGGGGGGGGGCCAGAGGTCTTGGTATGATGCGGCCAACATCCAACACCTGCCACCCCCCCCCCTCCCCCCCCCTCACCACCAGCACGTTCACCACAAGGTACAACCGCCGACCAATCCACCATCCGCCCGAGACGCGCGCAGCCATTCCCAATTGACGCCAACCCTCAAGTCTTAAGTGCTGGTCACAAAACTTTTTCTTAATGGAGGAGGAACGTGTGGAATTAATGTGAGATACCCCAAGACCTGGTTGGATAAAATTGAAATCAATAGACACTGGTATTTGCGGTGATTTCTGCTTGTCCTTCTATGAACACTTTCACGGGTTGTTTATAAATACCGGGCCTTGCTTATAAACTTGCGGGTTGTTTGTAAACATGTGGGTCGTTTAAGGGCAACAGAAATCGGGCCCGTGTGTTTCTCTTTTGTGTATACAGAGATAAACGCACTGCAGCAGCGTGCGGCTGATACGTCCAGGCTCATCGAGTGAAACCACAAGATGTTTGTGTTTAGTATTTCAACTGTACAAAGTCTCTTGTAAGGCTATGTGTGGGGATGGAGAGCGTGCTACGGCCTGGACCAAACCGGTTTGAGGAACTATAGGAGGACGATCCGTTATGGCTTGGAACCGACCCGGTATCCAGTGCAGCATTTTTCACTAATCCAAATGATGTTGATCCAAATACTGGCTATTTCGAAGGGGTACGGGGTACCTTATGAACAAGGGTATCGGAAGAAGCCAGAATCGGATAAGCATCAACACAAGTAGGATTCCAGTCTAGGACAGCAGCCAGATCTTCATCGATTACAGTTTGTCTTTGGTAGTCTTTTATACAGGTACATAGGCTGAACCCGCTCACATCTTTACTTTGCTTCACTGCGCAAAAACAAGGGCCCTTATGTGCATCCACATTTCGTTAACCCTATGCCAATGCAATTCGACAGCTAATTAGGCTGAATCTCTACATTGGTGTTTCAAACACTGTTACAAACAGCGGTGTTGGCTAAGCTTGCTTTGGGTAGACAGTCCAGAGTCTTAAAGGCCCGATTATCAGAGCTGCATAGAGAAACTGTCGAGCTTATGTAGCCTACCTCAAGACGTTCTTTAGAGAGTCTTGAATTCATCGATATTTACAGCGTTTTCTGCTTGTAAGATCTGCTACACAAGAACCCAGATTAAGGGGCTCGACCTACACACTGGTGTGGAGCCTGTTGGAGAGCGATTTTGCACAGCTCGAATAAGCTGTTCCGAAAAACACTTGTGATGCTTGCTTTGTGGTATGTGCTTAACGCGACACAAAACACAAGCTACTGCTTTGGAGCCATTAACGTTGAAACCCGATAGAAAGCACTGAAACCAAACCCAGGCCCCACAGTCGACCGCTCTCTATGAATATACATATATATATATATATATTAATAACACATTCCATTGTGGGCAGAAAGTCAGAAGCAGCACACGAACACCTCTAACGACCCACATGGAGACAGCATTGGCAACAGGCAACAGGCTTGACACGAGTACGAATGCTTCAGTAGAATCTGAGGATGCTAAGCTTCAGGCTTGCAGGCATTCGCACTGTTCGTGAAACGAAGCAGTGCATCCTTGATCTTCTCCGTGACATCATTGAAATCCGTCTTGGACCTTAGGCAACATGCATAAACATGCAAATCAAAATCGGCTTCAGGCAGGACATAAACCAGTCATTTATTGCCAATTGGCGCATTCTTGCGTGACAGCTCGGCATCACAGAGTTGCAAGTAGAGGGAGTTCAGGTTGCCTTGGTATCTGTACTGACACATGATCAGGAATGAAGACATGAAAAAATCCAGGCCATGCCGTTTAAGGCAGACCAAGCAGCTCATTTCAGCTTCCAGCCGTTGCACATCCTGCCTTGGATCTACTGGAATTATTTAGTCAACATACAACACGCCATGAAAATCAATCACAGAAAAAGATGAGAGAGACAGAGAGAGAGAGAGAGAGAGAGAGAGAGAGAGAGAGAGAGAGAGACCATCGGATGGCACACAGCTTTTACATTAATATGTATATATATATATACATATATATATACATATCTATAGGTTTGTATACATATTGTA